AGGGATTACGATAAGTTTGGACTGGTTTCATAGTGGAAGTGGAGATGCTGAATAATGCCCTAGTGGCGAAAAAAGCAAAGAAATCCGTCAAGAACGCGCAAAATGGGACCCCTTTCTTTGCCCGTTGACCTCCGATAATGGACGAGCTAGCAACCAATAAGAGGTCGTTTGCACATGTTAAACCGATAGCCACCATCATACCAGCAAAGGCCATGCTTTGATTGGTAACGCGTTCCATGGGAATGTTATAGGATACGCACTCAAAGCGGAATACCTAATCAAAATTATAATCGAAGGACCCTGCTGCTCTGGGGGGAGCGCGCCACATGGTGGCAATACCAGGGCTGGCGGAGTTCAAAAGGATATTTTTTGCAAAGGCCTCTGTCACGCTTGTAAGTCTAGCGCACCTTTGGCCACAAATGCCCACATTTTTGCTTCCTTCGGCCCCCGACAGCTTCCAGCTGGATGAGCAGGTAAACTCCATTTTCTGCAACACACTCGATCGCAATTTTGTTTTAACTTTAAGGCTCAGGACAGCCATGCCTTCTATCCCTCAAAAGATGTTGGGCTTATTTGGAAAACAAAAGCACTGACTTGTACGTGAGCTCTCCCTAAAAACGTTTGTATAGGCCAGATCGCAATTGGATCCCATTGCGATCTAGAGAGGAAAAGTAGAGTGCATGGCTCATACCGAAGAGGGAGTTGACCAATTTTGGAAGCTTCGACTGTCATAACCTATATCATAAACATCATGGTTCATGATCTCTCACCAGCCCAGCTCCTCAACCCATCGGGTGGATAAAAGAGGACTAACAGCTGCGCCTGAGACGTTCACATTTTCAAGCGATCTCGTTTTGGTGATTGTAGTCTGATCAAAGGAAAGCAAACCACTACGGTCAATGTAAGCCAACTAAGCAGCCAGGGCTCGCTCGTGTTTATGCTAGTGACCAAGGTGGAATTAGTGGAAATTATTTGGAAGTGTCAGCTGCAGGATAAAGGGAATAAGAATCCTTAGGAGTATCTATGGAGAAGTTGATAAAACACATCACACACGTTCATGTCTGTAGTGTGATTCTGTGCTGTTCTAACGTCTCAGAAACGTGTTGGACATCAAAAGCTACCCGCCGTGGGAGCACAAAAAACGTTAATAACTTTCCAAAGGGTTTAACCCTTTCGAAAAAAGTAGTTTGTATTTTCTTGTGGCTTGTGAGAGGCGAGAGAGCATTACAGTCTTTTTGATAGTCGAAATAGATCTGTTACGTTTTATGTAAAAGAGAATCCCAACAAATGAACTTTTACAGTAGTATTGTACATTCGGGTCGAAATAAAACTGTTTGCTGGAGTTCTTACATACAAAGTGCAGTAAAAAAACGTATCAGCAATTACTGCGCAATTGATTTGACTGGTTCCGCTACTGTAAAAATGGTCGAACCTGCTCCACCCTAACATTCCATTCATTACAGACATTTATTGCACGACGCAAGTTCAACGACTTCGAAGAATTCGCAACGAGGTAGTGAAAGAAAATTCGAAAGTAATGGTCGATGGGTGCAATAGTATGGCTCGGGGAGGGGGGGGTGGGGCAGCACGTAACATCGCGTCAGGATTGGGGTTACACTGTTTCAGGACTTAGCCTTCGAAGAGGAGAGGACACCGAAACTTGTCCGGAGCTCGCCCCTGCTGCCTAGGTTTAGTTCTAAACGCCTTTCTACAGAGTGCTCCTTCCCAGAGCCACGTTGCGCCGGTCGATGAAGGCCTTCTGAAAGTACCATGATTCAGAGGTTTGGATGCAAAAGGATTTGAGCTAATTATTTTGATTGACCTCGTCTCACCAAAGCCAACATACGGCACAAGTTCTACACTTCACGGCTAGTGTAGTCCAGGGGTTAGGTTCAGGGTTTGTAGCTCAGGGTGCATGAGGAAATTTCAAACAACTCATGACCCCTTTTGGGAAGATCTCGACATAGCCTCTCATATCACACTTCACCAGGGCAAGAAATATGACTCTCCCGAAAACTCCAACTACGGCAGGGCCGTTGGTACATTAGCAGCGAACGGCCGAGGCCAGTTTGGTAGCCCCACGGCGCATATTTAATCCAATGGCACACCTTTGCCCTCAAAAAATAAGGGTCATAACAAGTATGCTGAGTCGTGAGCAAAGCATATCAGGTCCGGCCAAGCTTGGAACTTGCGCTTTGATGTTCGCAACAGTGGATTATGGAATTTCCATCTAGTTGCTGCAAAACTAATGGTACAAATTTCGGTGTAAAAGGTCCAGGTTCGAGTCCCGGCTGCGTCAAAACGTTGGCCCACAAATTACCATGCTTGGCATGAAATTGAACTGCAGAGAAAATTAGCTGTTGGCATACCAAAAGAATGATTAAATAATTGGTCAACAAAATAGGGAGGAAAGCCAGCCCAATGGAAATATTACCGTAGAAAATTTATCAGTGAGCTCGAAAAAGCAGTAGCCACCACATTCCTGACAATGAAATTCACCGACAAACTAGATTGAATCCACAACAAATAGGGGGGTCAAAGGTTGCTACAATGAAAAATAAAATAAAGTGCTGACAGAAGGTGGAGTTTGACACTCGGAGCTTATTGTCAGCTTATTGCTGATATCTTATCAGAGCAGGAGTGAAAATAACAATATTACAGTATTGCCTATAGTGAGCTGTGACAAATTTTAGTATTCGAAGCTTCAAGTTGAATTTCTTGCCTATTACTTTTTTGTGAATGCTTCAAAAAATTGAGAGGACGAGCTAAAGTAGTTTTCCAGCTACGTAGCCCTTTCAGCTTTCTCTCATGTTCGAGCGAATAAGGGCAGATGGCGTATGGCCCCATCACCTCAAAGGTGGTACATGGACCTAGTCTCCCCCATGCAAACCAAGATTACCTTCCCGAGACTCACGTGATTGGTACCGCTGTCCTCTGGTAGAGCAAAAATAGTCTATGCACATCAACTGAATCGTGAAAATCATAGCACTGAATGCAAAACATCCATATGACAGAGAAAAATACGTTGAAAGCTCACTCGATGATGAAAAGATGAGGCTGTTTTACTACTAAATGAAAGCATAGGTGCGTAAAAAACCGCCAGCGAAGGAAAAAAAGGAGAATCGAGCGATGGAAGCGCCAAAAATTGATCCAATTTTCTTATAAGCTGAGCAATACTACAGCGAAGGGACACTGAGAGCCGAGGAGAGACAGTGAACGAGAGAGAATGCCGGCAAGCAAGACGCTGACATTCACTGCGCCCCTTGCATTGTGATAGCAGCCCAGCAGGTTTTACCACATCTGACAAGTCTCAACTGTGTCACGCTTCCGAGTCGCGGTAACATTTTCTAGCTTTGTGAGGGCCCTTTGATATTTCGGAAAGGATGATTCACATAGCCTAATAGTAGATTAATGTGAAAATAAAAAGTGACGAATGTGGAAAATAATTCTGTCCACGCCCTGCACTTTGGCCTTTTGCCTTTGACATCTTCAAGAATAAGGTAAATACGACAAATCAGTATGAAATTTGATAAGATCTAGGCAGGTGGTACTTTGGTACTCTCGCTTGCGAAAGCAAGTCATGGGCTTTTGATTAGGAAAATTGGGATTAGGAAAATATCACGTGCAAAACTAAAAAATGATAAGTATAAAATCGATAAACGTCTGATGGTTTACAATTTGATTGTCTCGAATTGCTTGGCACTGAACCAAGTGTCAAAGGTGAATTACCAAGGTGAGTGGAGATGGGTGCGGACAAGCGTTATTTCTCAGCTGCACTGCGCGCAAGGGATCAAATTCTAGCACATCAAAAAGCAGGCAGTAGGTCTCAATTCAAGAACGCGTTGGTGGTATTCTCCATCTAAGTGTACACACGAAAAGGACATCAAACGACTTATTTGGATACCCACCTCAAAAAATATTGAGAATGACTTGTTCCTCTCCCTGGCGTTAATCCCGCAGGGTCCGCTGACCACAAAACAGCGTAAGTAGCACAACTGGGGGCAAATTACTTTGTGAGGGAGGGGTCATGTGTAGAGCTACCAGAAGCTGACTAACACCTGCTCAAATAACCTGAGTAGCTCCATAAAGTAAAATAGGGCGATTTGTGCTATGAACCAATAACATAAAGGCTATCCTCTACCTGTGATGTGCCCATAAACTACTGCCGGGTTCAGATAACAAAAATTATTGCAAATGAACCGACATATAATCATTCGAGAGAACAAATAACGAAAAAGAACTAGACGGAATGAGGTTTAAGAATCGAAAGTTCAGCCCGAATACCAACTGATCGTTCATCCTCGAATAGAAAAATCATAAACCAACTCAGCGGCAACATAGTTCAATAAAAAAGACGGGATGAAATCGGTGCAAAATAAGTAAATAAATAAATAAACAAGTAAAGGTAATGATCAGAAATGAGTAAAGCTTCACGAATGGATGACAAGAAGGTACCAGGCCAACTAGCATAACAGACTGACGAACTCAAGACGAGGTATGACTCAGAACACGTGCCACCAAAACCGGAATGGAAATAGCTAGAGACCAGGGTTTGCACGGTCATGAGGTCGAATCCCGCCCTTGCCACTCACATCCGCCTAAGTCATGAGATCAGCTCTTGTGCGAGGAAAGCAATATTGCGTCTATCATCACCGGGTCGAGCAGAATAATCCAAAACATTCATAAGGTTGTACGATTTTCTAAGGAACTAGTGTGCATGGCTCAACCTGAAAAGTCCGCAGCAGTTCCAAACAGTCCATCTCGTTTCCTTACAGCGACGTATGAAAGGAGAAATCTAGTTAGCGGACCCTGCGACTGCACGGAACTAACGCTAGGAAGAAGAGGAAGTACTTTAGCCAAAAGTTGCCGATTTTGAAGAATTTCAGTGTAATGAAGACACAATAATTATATATTCTATGATTCTAAATTTATGGCTCTAGCCAAGGTCAACAAATAAATCGAATTCTTATAAGTGAACTGCAAACGAATAGACTATGAGAACAGACGATCACGTCACAAACAGCTGACAACCTCCATCACCATCCCAATCAATCAAGCAGGGCAAGTGTACCAGGCTCAAGGTCAACACGAACGACCAAAGGTCAGATAAGAAGGCCAAAGTGGTGCGATCGGGTGGTCAGACGACAGAGTGCATTCCTACTGCAAACTGTACAAATAACAGCTGCATAGCGCTACAAGGTGTTTTGTTCAATGTGATAATGAGCTACTTGGCCACTTCTTGCTGTGGGGTAGCCTCAGAGAGCAGATACAGAGCAATTCGGGACTCTAGCATCGCTTAACTCCTCACTATATTGGCTGAATATCATTTAATCGCTGCTGCAACTTCGAGCGTTAGTTGAGTGCATGGCGCATACTAAAGGAGATTTATTGACAACGTTTCCTCCTTAGACATCAGAGATGAAGAAATATGTGTTGCACACAGAGACAAGACTGATTCGGTAAGAATGCGAAGAATCCAGTTTCAGTAAGCGAACTATAACTTATGGTAACCGGATTTCCTGGGTAATAGGTTCAATAGAGGATGACAAATTGGGTAGCGACGGCAAAATTGCCACCGTCAATGTGGCTTCAGTATTGAAAGGTGTGGAAAAGAGATGAAATAATATGACGAATTTTTCCAGGAAAAGGAGCATATATGCTGCGATATTGGACGACATCTTGTCCAGGCTACGCCATGTATTCGGGTTCCATTTAGACTGCCAGGCAGTTGTATGCATGTATGCACAACTGGGCTGAACTTATTATTATTTATACAACTTGTCGGAGACAATCCAAATTTTCATTCAAGTTACCGTTCACATCCCTCCAGACGAAAGGATAATAGAAGAATGAAAAATCGATGCTGGTGAGTCTTGGAATGCGCCATGCATGTTACTTACGTTCAGGATCGCAACGGCATCTGAACGATATTTAGCCTATATGCTTGCGATTTGGAAAAAACTTGAAGGAGTAAGCCGATGTGGAAGTCAGTGATTTTTATCCTTCTAGACAAGTGCGAATGGCTTGGTATGATTTGTGGGGGCAAATGAAGCTATGTACCTATCTAGGTCAGGACAAGGTAAGCGAGATAAGTGCATAGCTCCATTTTTCATCACTCCATACTTTTATGATCTCCACAGGACTTGGATAAATAAACAAATAGACAAGTAAGCAAGCAAACATGTTCCCTTAGTCATAGCACGACTCTAGAAGTCCTCAATTAAGCATCAACTTCATTTTACTTAGGCTCTATGGTTAATGTGGCCTACCATAAGACTCTGTGAACGCATAACCAAGCTTGGGGTTTTTTGAGCAGACCTTTTGAGAACGTTTCGCTGAATGAATGGTGAGAGAGTAGAGCGCTCTTAGGTAGCGGCTTAATTTGAGAGCGATTGCCTCCCTAAGCTATTCGACCCATCCCCAATTTCGAGGTAAAGAGAGTCAAAACAAGTGGAATGCCTTTAAAGACTTTATTCTTCAGTCATCAATCATAAACAACAAGATGCGACGGGGAGGAAGTTGAAGACATCCACGTGCGTCCAACCTGACCCCATTGTTACACTACAATCACACCACCAACGAAATCTCTCACTATGAATATCACTAGGAGATAAAATTGCTCGAAAAGGAAAAGGAAGGGAAACTATAACTGAGAAATAAGACATGTGATGCTCAAAAACGTGACAATAATGAACAAAAATAAGAAAAGCCTCTGAGCAGCACAGTATTTGCCAATTTCATTCAAACATAGGAAAACTTATAATGTCGGTGAGCGTGCAGTAGGTCATGGACCACGAAAGTTAAATATCACTGTCTTTATTACTCCAGCTGGTATGTTAGGTGGGCTTGGTGTCATATAGTTCGTGTAATACCTAGGCTAATCAAATCACATAGGGCAACGTGAAGTCATAAGAATTCTTTGGAAGGCCTTTACTTGAACGGAGCATTGCAATTCCTTTGATGTCAGGCAGCAGAATGGTAGCGGTGCAATGAAAGCATGCCGCTGGATCAAGCTGGTGGGTCCTTTCACAGGAGTATGAAGCATTGGTGAAGGTGCGGCCAGAAAAAAGGAAAAGGATTCGTTGAAAATGCGAAGGTAAGAGGCTCGATCATCTTCCTGATAGTTGTTGCTCATGGGGGTGCCAAGAGACCGCGTTAACCCATTGCGGACCGCCGTTATAATTGCACCTCCGTAGGTTTTTGTTAAGTATTTTATCAGTGAGCCAATAACCTATCGAAAATTTAACCAGTATGCGCAAATATATGATATATCCTGTGTCCAAAAAAGTATACTGATGAATTTGTAACTTAAAAAAAACGCTAAAAAATATCCGAGTTGCTATGCATGGCGTGTCTGCACACTGGCTGCAAGCACGCACGTCCGCAATGCTCGTTAAAGGCACGGTGGCGATGGAGTTGGTGTTATTTTGTTCGAAAATCAGGCAGGAAGTGCGAAGAGGAACGTTTAAAGCATGAGGCGTAAAACATTCGGCGTTGATCAGGCAAGGTTAAGGATGCGCCACGCATTCTACCACCACCCATAATGGTGGCAATGAATGCGATGTGGCCTATACAATGACTTGCGGGGGCCAGCCGATGTACAAGTCAGTGTTTTTATCCTCCCAGACAAGTCTGGTACCAATTAACCGACCCCGGAGGGATGGAAGGCTTGGTTGGCCCAGGACGACGCAAGACTCGGCCGCGCGTGTGAGAAGCGGCGCCACTTGCAGCTACACCACTTTCGCTAAGAGGAACGCTGATAGGAGAAAGTTTTCTGGTGAGTCGCTCGAGATACCACGGAGAGACAAGCGAGGAAAACGCGAGAGAGCACGTGCACGCGAGAGGGAGCAGACGCTAATTGTGATGGCTGCGATTGGTGAGAACGGCAACAGTTGAGCGGTTAAGCAAAGGCATTAGTTCTTTTGCTGCACACTTTTAAGTTGCCACAGTATCGCCGCCCCTGCTTGTATTTGGCATCCTGCTACCTCACTCAAGAAGTGATTTTCTCTGAGGATAAATCGCAACCTGTGTCTTTGAGATTTTTTTGGCAGTTTTTTGCTTTCTTTCATTATGGGTGGTTCAATCTCGCCGGGTTCTCTCGTTTTCGTACACGATAACCTAGACAACTTCAAGAGCAGAATTTCCCTTCAATGATGGAAAAGCCTGACGCATATCGGATTCGCAATCCATGCAATGTCTTTATTAAAGGCAAATTCCGGGATTTCTGGCGAAATTTAGGTTTTCCCCGTCAAATATGCAGCAGTACGCAAGGGCAGACCATGTGCAGAAGTGGCGGGGCGTTTGATAAGGTTTAGGCGCTAGGAGCCTAGGTTGGAGCATTGGCGCCGCCCCAACCCCATTGAGCCCGCCCACCGTCCTACGTGATCTTCCAAACAACCACCTGGAACGCTAGATGTTAAGCCGTTGTTTGGAAAGTCGTAGGGGATATTTAGCGGATTTCAATTGCGAAAATCAACATCAAAGCCTATGTTACGACCATTTTGGAGAACGTTGTCATCATTCTAGTGAGAAGAAAAAATTTTAAGATAGGAAGCAAACAAAG